AATTTTTTGAAAATTTGTGATTTTTTTTTTTTAATCCATGATCAAATTTTTTGAAAATTTGTTAATTTTTTTTAATCCATATTATTCAAAGAGAAAATGAGAGCGATGATGATTATGAGGCCACCCTATCCCAGCCATATTATTCACATATCGAGTCCCAACAACAACAGTGTAGGGATGAGCACGACAGTGTAGGCGAGCATGAAGGATGGACAAGCTTCGGGGATTTTGGATTGGGAACACAACAAAACACTAACACTCAGGGATTTGGGAATAGTCAGACGCCTGCTAATATCGATGATTCGTTTTTAGATCGCATCAATGAATTGTTAAACGAATTCAATCAATGGCACTAGCGTGACCAAGAAGAACAATAACATCGTCTATCATTTTATTTTCTATCATATGTCCACGTATGTTGATATACTTATTCCATGATAATTCAATGTTTATCCTTTTGTGTGATGTAAATTAAATGCTGAATGGCGGTTTATGCAGGGAAATAACATATTAATATTCTCATATTCATTCAAAAACATAAAAATTCTTAATGGAGTACCCTCATTTCTTATTGAATTCCTAAAAACAATATTTATAATGAATTTTAATAATTTTTTTGGATTTTTTTTAAGCTTTATTATGACCGATTCACCCGATTTTGGATCCGGGTCGCCGATTCACTGATCCGGATCGGTTTTTTTGGTACCCGATCCGGATCACCGATCCGTTTTTTAAACCATTGGGATTGAGCATTCATGTGCTACCAAATTGATCATTTTGTTTTTGTAGATAAGAACCTAACAAGGGGAATTTGATGGACCCAATACACCCAAATATTGTACAAAAGAACAATAAGGTCGATCCAAGCAAATTTAATATTAAAAAAACAAAGGAGAATATCATTTAAGGGGTCATAACTCCTTACATGAATCATTAAGGGGGTTAATATTAGGTGGTTTATTTTTTATCTTTATTTATTTAGGTACCTATGTAACAAAGATCTTAGAAATACCCAAATTGCTCATGTTCACGGTTGAAAATCTTGAACGAGTAAAAAACTGATTTGCTAAATCAAGATTCTCAATTTAATATCACTTTAATATGCTTGTCTCAAAACCAAAATTCAAATATTCAAAATAAAAAAGAGAATAAAAGTTTCCCAAAAGTTTCAGGCGAGAAGTTTTTCTAATTATTTTTAGAAAAATAAAGAATATGCATTTATAACGGTTATATTAAAAACATATTTTTATGTAAATACTTTAAAAAGACTTAAGACTTTTTAAATATTATAAAATATCTAAGCTTTTAGAGACTTTCAAACTATGATTTTGTCCCCTTAGGTAATATTTTCCTTAGATACAAGAAGACAAGTTTTGAAAATCAAGTCGTCCCAAAATCAAAATCCAAAATAAATAAATATAAAATTCTGAAATATTGGAAGAAAGTCAAAAGAATCTAATTTCAAGTTCAAAATTATTTTTTTCTATTCCGATTTGATCGTAGGACGCATCTCAAAGGTTGTGGGACACGTAAACCACCTCAGACATTTTGAACGCATGACCAAATGTACAATTCGGTCCAAATTGATAATGTAGAAGGACAGAAAAGTTTCACATACGAATTCCCCCAAACTTCCACAAATGAATTTCCCTCCAACTTTCGTGACAAATGATTCCGAAATAGCTAAGTAATAAGAAGTACAAATTGCAATTCATAACCTAGTTGGTCAATGAAATTTTGACACTGCACACTTTCTCAATAAGAATAAAAATTTATTTTTGCCCTAGAACTGATGCTCAAAAAATATGTAAACTTAGTAGATTTAAAATTTGTTGGTCCAAATGACATGTTGTAATATATACTTCTTCGAGGCCTAAAATCTTTTATTTTCAAATTTGTAGTTTTTCCAGCTTCATAAAATCAAATTGACAATCTTCTAATATCGAAACTACATTTTTTCGCATGCTTTTGGTGCTTCAATTTTTATAGTAAAGCACAAGTTTTGTCTAAACCGACAATTTATATTGGAATCGTCAATCTGGATCTGGAATCGATGAGAAACGATCCAGTTCACGATCGAAGTCAATAATAGACTCATATAACTGACTACTTTTCTGACAAAACTAACCTATTCCATGGCATCT